TTAAGTTTCAGTGAAAGATGAAAGTAATTTTTTCTAGCTTTCGTCAATCGATTGGTGGATAGTATTGTTTTAAATCCTCTGTGTTCAATAGTCTTAACCTACGACAGTCATGGTTGATGATAATAATCGAGAGAAAAAAAGAGATACATTTAGTAACCTTGTGTACTTTTCTTCAGTAGACACTGACCCACACCTACTATATGAATGGGTGAATGATACTATCTGGCTACCAAAACCTTGATAGGTTAAGAGTTGTTCCAGCCCGCCACCCACTGGTAGAGCTGCAGCTCTAAACTATTTCTAAACCTTTTTATATTACGGACGCCGGTCTTATTTGTCTTCATTTGCACAGTGGATTTTTGTATCAATATGTAACGACAGTGTAGAGTAAAATGGTAGAGAAGATTTTGTAGCTCAAGATGAGAATGATAGTTGTTTGATGTTTTTCAGGCTTTGAGTTTTTTTCTTGAACGTTTCGGGAAGTAAGAAATGCTGAGATGAAGTCTTCTAGCCTGAAACATCCAAGAACAAATCTTGAAGCTTGGTGAATACTGGGCACTTTTTACAGTATGTCTAGTCGCAAGCTGTACTCATTCACCATTATCATAATCCCCACTAAAAACTACAATCAATGTTTCTTTCAAACTTATTACTTGAGTTGCTCTGTTTGACATAGTGACTAAACTTGTGCTGATAATGATGATTATGTTATTCTGAAATGTATGACTTTCATTTCATAATAATTGATTAGAATTGGAATCTAGGACGTGCGTTCCGTCCTATTTGTGACTCATCAGCTGAATGTAACTACACCTCAGTGGGGAGATGTTGCTCTCACTGAGACTCGAACTCCGTACCCATCACTTTAAACATCAACGGATTGTCCACTAAGGCTTGGTAGTCACCCTCTCTACAACGGGTATTAGTTATTATTACTTGTTGATACATGTAATTCTCTTTTGTGATACTGGATCGAACTAGTCGAACTCCGTTGGTGAACGGTCTCCTATGTGGCTGTCTTGATACTGCCTTTATATTTACTGTCATAATCGACTTGGTTGCTGCTGGCAGTGGAATCTAGAAGGCATGTTTTATTGTCTTGTGAGTAGGACTGTTTACTAATATTTAAAGGCATAGAAATTAGACCAGCATACTTTGGTGGCTCATGTAATGGAGGGGCTTTCTTGAAACAGTCATTTTTCGGGTTGTTTGATAGTCAGTTTTATTGGTTTCTGAGGTGTTTGTCATCAACCTTAGTAGGTGGATTTCAAGCAGTAGGTCCAGTGCTGAAATTTCCTTCCATTTACTTCAGTTTGATAACATAGTCCTAGTACATATACGTGGACCAGACTGAATTGTTTCAGGAAGGGTATGTTTCTTCTTTTTCATTTGGTAGCTGTTGTCTTTTGCCTTTTCATTTATTACTCTTGTTCTTGTGATCTAAGTAGTTTTCTTGGTTACACAGGTAAATGAATGGGGACTGGGATTAGTTTGATGGATATCTCATCAGTAAGTCAGTTAGTTAGATTAGTATGAACGTGGGATCGGGCACTACTACACACTGGTCCAAGTTGGCACATTTCACAAATCATTAGCTCATCAAGCTATAGGAGACAGTATGATGAGAAATCGAAGGTTATGCAAACTTGTCGATATTCTAGCATGTGATCTCCTAATGTGTTGTTTTTAATCTATGAAGAAAGGTGTATATAGTCAAACAATGAGGTGTATAACAAGTTAAAACCATATGATAAGTCAACAACATCTACTTACATATGATACAATTTTGGATTGTAATATGATGATGTAAAAGAAAAATAGAACGTATGATTAGTAGCTCTGACATTTTTTTCAGGATACCTATGAAAAGTTTATGAAATAAAGCTATGATATGTTTTTGAAGCGCACCATCAAACTGACCACATGACTGGTTTGTTTTTATTCATGAAGTTTCATTTTGTTTCACCTCTAGTACAGTTGCATACATTGACTTTATACTAGATAAACTTAACATTCATATGATGGTGATTGTAATTGTCCCGTTGTTGAGTGGATCTGTGTTTATTAGTGCATGGGTTCCTGCGTCGATGACTCGATATTATCTCTATTTTCAACTTTGATATTATTAATAGTTAAGGGACTTTTCGGAGGTAGGCGCATTCAGCTGATGAGTCCCAAACAGAACGAAACCATGTCTGTATAATAGTGGAAGTTTTTATCATTTGTTGCCATTTCACTCTCTTCACTCTAGTCTTCTTAACCTGGCTCCACGACTGCCCAGCAGCTTTCATTTCTTCCTCATACGATCTTCTCCATGTCACCCTTGGACGCTTAACTCCTCGTTTCCTCTTTGAAATCCATTCGAGTGCCTGGCGTGGTGTGTGATGTCCCCGAATGGTCTTCTCAGTGTATGTCCAATCCAATGCATCTCCACTTTCTTCCACTGCATATTTGTTGCGTGATAGGTTCTTGGTTGATTGGTTGCGACACTTGAGTTCCTCTGATCTGATCTTCAGTATCGACTGTAAACAGCTATTGAGTTGGAAATAATCCTTCATTTTAGGTGAAGCAAATTTTGCTGTGTTTTATGTGGTTGACATTCATTTTTGCAACGAATTTCTCCTTCAAATAGTATTGACAACTTGTTTTCATATATTCATGATGTGAAATTTATTCAGTGGATTGTTTAGATGTTCTCAAAGAATCCTTATAGAGACGTATGAAAAAAGTTGTAAACAAATGGTTCAGCGAAGCGATTTTTGTGGAAGGATTCACTGATCCATTTGTTTAAATGTTATAGAAACCGAGAGTCTTATTAAACTACAACGTTCCACAAATCCTTTGTTTCCAAGGTCAGATTTTAACCATATCTTTCTTTTGATGAATTACTTTCAATATGGTCTTGTAAATAAACTTTTATCTTGAACTGAAAGCGACCAATATCAAGAGAATTAGATGAATTCAACAATCATTTTAACACTTGCTTTCGAATGAATAATGATGTTCCCAACTGGGATTCGAACTAATGGGAACAGTCACTGGGTGGGCAGGTATATTCAGCTGACGAGTCGAAAAATGACGAAATGCGCATCCTAAATTTCACTGCTGATTACTATCCATCATTAATGCATAGTTTAAACACAGGTAGTATCGAGGCATTCGCGCGGGAGCCCATATGCCAACAGAGACCGATCATTTCGGTCCAATCAGCGACCGTATAATATAAGCAATATTACTAATCATTTTAACCTTTTAAGAATATTTACAAGTTGGTATTGATCACGGACTGCCACCAGTTGGAGAACCATTGAAAACCTGTTGGCACTGAACAGCTGTTTCGTTCAAGTATGAGATTCATCAGCAATTTATATCCATGAGCGTACCAGAGATATAGTTTAAGACTACCAGGTCTTGTTATGATCACTGGGTTGAAATTCAGTGGTCCAGTTATCCTTACTTCTGTCAATTCATGGCATAACATGATTGCTATTCAATTGTATCAGTAGGCATCCACCTCATTCTAGAGTTTGTCGAATCCACAATTTAAAGCTGCTCATGAAATCTTGAGTATATTCATATGCAAGCAAGTGACTAATTAACACTGGACAGAAGTTTGTTTGAGGTTTTGCTGAGGTTGACTGATTGTTTGATTTTAAGATATCATTCACAATGGAATGTCATCAGTCAGAGAACGATTGCAAACTTGGGAGCAGTAGACAGCTGTTTTGTTCTTCTGATAAACTCTTAGGAGTACATATAATATATTTCCGGGCTATTTAACAATGTATTCATGATGGATAGTGGGTAGGCGCGTTTCATCCTATTTGGGACTCATCAGCTGGATGTTCCTACCTCCCAATGAGCTATGTTCTTCTCACTACAACTAGAATTTGCGACTGATTACTTCAAACTCAAAAGCATTATCCATTAGACAAGCGAGTCATGATAGCCACTTCTTTTGTGATAATACACGTAACAACATTATCTAGCAATGTGTAGTAGATTTCTTTCTTGTCATTGATCGAATGACTGATTGTTCTGTATTTACGTCGATCAGGTTCTGAGGAACATTTGTCATATGCGAAAACTGTACTGCTCAAACTTTGATGAGCGATACATTGATTAGAAGCATTGGCTATACAGCTGAATTTAGGTTTCATGTTTAGGTTGACTGTAAAAAAAGTTTGAGCTGATAAGTCACACTAACTACATAAATGAGAACATTTCACACAACTCATCTTTTATTCTTATGCATAATCAATGTATGCGATGAATACTTGAGTAAGATAACAGCATATCATTCTTTCTTATATTTTCAAGGATAGGAATCAACAACAACAATAGTTTCGATAAATTATGCTAAGGATCTTACCAAGTAGAGGTTGATTCAAGTTTCCTCAATCAAAAAAAATTAATATATATATATATATATATATATATTATTCTGACTATCTGAGATTTCCATAGTTTGGCAGACTAGTATTTATACTGGTTGATGATTGAAGATGGGATGAAAATATAGACCGCGGTCGGATTGTAACCAGCGACCATTAGGTTACCGGCGCGGTGCTCTGTCAACTGAGCTATGACATCCGATTGCTGACCACCTTTTTATTTCACTTGAATCACCAAGGGTTTTGGTAGCATATATACTAGTCTGCCAAATAACCGCTATCTGAGATAGTCAAATGATAATCAATGTGATGCTCCCCCTTTTTTGATTCAGATAGATTTGTATTTGAATGAGAAGTCTTGACTAGTCAGTCAGTGTTAATAGGATCAAGCGGTAGTAACGCATCACGAATTCACATGGTAGTCGTTCAAAACCCTTAGTGATTGAAACGAAATAAAAATGTGATCAGTAGTTGGACGTCGTAGGTGAGCTGGTAGAGTACCGGACCAGTAATCTGGTGGTCTCTGGTTGGAATCGGACCGCTGTCCAGATTTTCATTTCACTTCTAGTCATCACCCAGTATTTTAAAATGTGTTTAATTCTTTAGAGTTGGTGGCCTCATTTAAAGAAATTCTCAAATTTTGGTGATCAAATTAAATTGAACATTTTAACACCGATTGCTGGCACTGGGACATGTTGGCCAGTGGATAAATCAGGTCGACCACATTCTGTTCTTGCACAGATTAACGCTCGTATGGCTAAAGTTGATATCAGTATTGAAGCAAGCTGGCGATTGAATGGAAAACCATTAAATACTCACGGGAATTTATCTGGTAAGTTAAAAATGTTGCCCCCCCTTTTTTTTTTTACAAAACTAACTGTGAGATTTAAAAGTCCATTTGTATATTATTCTACTAAATGGAATAGGGAGAATGTTCCCATGCCATATTTAGTCATTTCAACATGTGACGTTGCAAAGATCAGCGAAGGTCTCAAGTAAGTAAGTAGGTACTATAAAACGTTTTCATCCTTAATTGAAAAACGACTGGTTGAAGGCTATCAATAAACTTCGTCAAAGATACCCAATAGACTATAGAATGACGAAATTTGACCCCTGATGATCTCCCGTTTTTTCTTTATTTCTGTCTTCTCTGATCCAAGTGATTATTTTCGATACATAATTGTTATTACTAGTATACTCCGATGAATTTCAAAGATTTAAGATAAACGTTTCATCAGAATTTTGCTATTTCCCCTTATTGCTTGGTTTTTGGATACTCTGACGTTTGAAGCAACAGGTTCTAGGTTTGACTGTCAATATTAACACCATTATTCATTCGGATGCAGGTACATCTAGTCGGCTATTCCAAAACAGTAGAAAAAGTGCGTCCTGTATTTCACTGTTAGCTATCGCCAAGCAGATTAAACGCTCAATCTTCCTTCGAATATCATTTGAAAATATTACTTTGAGATAATAGGAAACATTTGTAGCTCAGGAGGATAATTTTGATGATGTATTCTTTGAGCTGGATGGTTTTTCCGTGGACCTTTCATTGTTATTCTAGACAATATCATCTACACAAACTTCAGAAAGAAAGTGAGCTATAGGCTTTTTCCGTAATTTATTTAGTACCTTGTCATGATGGCCTTGTGTGTGATTGGTTGCCCTGATGACCTTAAAGTCGACTTTCTAGTTGTTTCCTATTGGCTGACAGATTGGGTCAATGTCTGTTAATTGCTGACCTGAATGTCAAGCTTCTAAAAATTCTTTGGCATTCTATCTATTTCTTGTATCCAGGATTTTCACATTTTCCCAGTTAAATTCATGTCCACTGTTGTCTGTATGCATTGATATGACGTTTCACTGCCAGTTGATGTCCATGTACACGGATGCAAAGAGCTCGATCACTCTATCCGATGTGGTGTTTCTCGCGCAGTTTCTGAAATTTATTTTGTAGATAGTGTTTTGTTTATTTTCCTTTGTTATTATATGTTTTGGCCTGCATAACAGAGAGTGAAGAGATTTTGTAACCTTGTGAGCTACAGCGATTAGTAGTGATTTTGGAGACATTTTTCATGTAGGGTAGGGAAATCGATTTGTTGGTTTTCGAGCTTGACGACAAATTATGTAAACATCATTCAATGTTTCATTCAGCGGGGTGCGATCGACCTCCTGTACGACTGCTGTTAAATATCTTCTTCCTTTATTACAGTTTACTTGATGGAATCCAGCACACCTGTTTCGTCCTATTTGGAACTCATCAGCTGAATGCACACCTACAACTCAGTGAATGATGGTATACCCACTAAGGATTGAACCCATTGCCAGTCGATTCAAACATCAGAGCGTTATCCACCAGGTCATTGAGTCACGATAGCCACTTCATGTGTGACAGATATAGTATATCAAGTTGTTATTCATCGAAGACTGACATCAGTTGGAGGAACAAAGGAAACCTGGTAGCACTGGACAGCTGTTTCGTCCTAGTATGGGACTCCTGAGCAGTGCGCACCCACAACCTTCACACCAGCAGGGATCGAACCCGCGACCTTCAGGTTCTGTGGCCAGCGCGTTAGAATTGAGCCACTGGGTCAGAATCCAATGCTCCATATTTCCAACTTCTGTTAGCTCACGATATAGCGCAAATCGCCACCCAATGTCATCGTTGAGTATTTGTCCTCACGGCCATCAGGCTTTGACTCCACAGGTCACGACTTCTCATTGGAACTTCGGGAATAATCCTCGAAGCTAGTCACTAATGAGCACCAGTTCAATTAAATTTTGAGGGAGTTGTGGAGATTTGGAATTATTTCAAGTTGTTATTCATCGTAGACTGACATCAGTTGGAGGAACAAAGGAAACCTGGTAGCACTGGACAGCTGTTTCGTCCTAGTATTGGACTCCTGAGCAGTGCGCACCCACGACCCCACACCAGCAGGGATCGGACCCGCGACCTTCAGGTTCTGTGGCCAGCGCGTTAGAATTGAGCCACTGGGTCAGAATCCAATGCTCCATATTTCCAACTTCTGTTAGCTCACGATATCAGTTATGTGTATATTTTAAAAGGAGAAGTTCGTTATTATCTATTGAAATACTACTTGTAATCCCCTCCTTTTGTGATATTGGATTGAATTGATCGACCTTTGTTGGCAGATAGACTCCTGTTCAGATGCCTTGATGTTATCTGGATATTTACTGTTATAATTGACTTGATGTGTGGCTAGCAGTGGAATCTAGGATATACGTTTTATCCTATTTAGGCCTCATCAACCGGATTTACCTGCACCCCCAATGAATGATATTGTCCCAACTGAGAGTTAAACTATATACTCATTGCTTCAAATACCAAAGCGTTATCAGTAGTCGCCTAATGGATAACGCTTTGGTGTTTAAAGCAATAAATACAAGGTTAGAATCCCAGTAGGGAACAACATCACTCACTGGGATGCAAGAAAATCCAACTGACAAGAAGTCTACTTTCAGAATTTTTCTTTTGGTTATTTTCAACTTTCAACACTAACTGATGTAAGAGACTGTGTTTTTTTGTTATTCTCTTTTCTTTTCTCCTGTTATATTTTTCAATTCTAAACCGACTAAACGAAGTACAGAACAGCATATCTTTGACATGTGTAAGAGAGGAAGATGACTGCTTGCCGTTCCTAGATGTATTAATTAGTCGAAGACAGGATGGATCCATAAAACGATCTATCTACAGAAAACCTACATGGGCAAGGCAATATCTGAATTACCATAGCTTTTGCCCAGTTCAGTACAAGCGAACGTTAGTAGGGTGCTTATTCAGTAGAATTCAACGAATATGCACCGAGGATACTTTAGATGATGAAAGAGGAACACTGACCGATATTTTGTTGGAAAATAACTATCCATCAACATTTATCAGGCAGAACAAAATTAGCAGGGCGTCAAAACTAGAACTGCAGTCAGTCCCAAAGAAGGATGTCTTCATCAGCCTTCCGTATAAAGGTGACTCTCACAGTGCAATCCTTAAGCAGAGACTTAACGCTGCTGTTAGAAGGACTTACTATGCAGCCAGGGTTCGAGTAATCGAAACCACGAAGCCCGTATATTCCCCCAAACCCCTACAGCATGTGAACGATAATGTCACATCCCATTGTATCTACCAATTCAAATGTACGTGTGGTGACACATACATGGGGAGGACTAATAGATCCATGCAAGTAAGGGCCTCGGGACATATTCCAAAGTGGCTTCAGAAGCAAATTAAATCACTTGAACCTATAAATGTTGGTAGCAGACGTCCAAGTTTTTCGATCGCCAAACATATCGTTGAGACAGGTCACAAGATTGATGTGGCTACTTCCTTTACACCTATTTACAAAACATGTTGGAGAGGGATCCTGAAATTTGTTGAAGCCTTAGCTATTAGGAAGTTGAAACCACCTTTATGTGTTCATAAACAATTTGTTGTCACATTAAACCTTCCTTGGTAACTTCAACTATTGAAAAACCAAGTTCGATGTACTATTATTTTTTCGCCCCATTGATTTTCATTGTTATTCGGCCTTTAAGTCAGCCTTCCTACCTGACCCCTTTTTATTTTCTCACCCCTTATCTTCATGAGTTTTTATATAAATACCTATGACAAGTACGTGTGTGATCAGATAGTTCGAAATGTGTTGTACAAATACATTACAAGGTTCAGACAATTTACGTCTTCTTATTGTTTTGTCGAAATAATTCATTTAGGTTTTCAAGGTATACGATCATTTGTTGATCATGTTCTCCATCGACATCCAGTAACTAAAACAATTTTGGATTCGGATAATTCATCAACTGGAGCTGCTTTGAATACAATACGTCCAGTGATTTATGTATTCCCTGGTCATGGGATATCATCACAGTCGTGCGCTTTATTCGCTGTACAAGGATTTACAGCTCTACTAGGCGGAAGTTATACATCTCAGACATTACCGAATTGGTGGCCAATGGTAAAACATTTACCAAAGTGAGTATAAAGTTTGAAACAAAGGCAAAAAATGCGTTTTCTTCTGTTTTAATAGAAAGTGACTGTTGTCAATTAGTTCCAGGTTGGAATTCATCACGGACTGACATCAACTTGAGGAACATTAGAAACCTGGGAGTATTGGATAACTGTTTAATCCTAGTGTGGGACTCCTGAACAGTACGCACCCATGACCCGGTCAGAGATCGTGCTGGCCACGGAACCTGAAAGTCCTGGGTTCGACCCCTAGCGGGGCGGGTTCATGGCTGCGCGCTATTTAGGAGTCCTACACTAGGATTAAACAGCTGTCCAGTGCTCTGAGGTTTCCAATGTTCCTCTGTGTGATGTCAATTCATGATGAATTCCAGCCTGAAACCAACTAATAAATCTAATGCGTCTTTTTCACCCACTGCAATTTTCCTAGTCATTTGGTATTATGATAACCTACATAACAAATGAGTGGAAATGCGACTCATTAGTTAAGGGAGTTGACTTTCAACCAGTTGGTTCGGGGTTTGAACCCCCTTCCACCTACCGAGGTCTGCACAGCCAAGCATAACTCATTGGCTACTGAACGAATGTCCACAAGGTTGTTGAATAGAATCCCAGCAACATAGATATGTGATTCATCGTCCATCTTACGAACATGCAGATTACTTATGAGTTACATTATTCGTATAGTGTACTGTAATATTTCCAGTTTCAGGTTTTAAGTACAATTTGTGATAAAATAATATTAACAAACAGTTATATTAACCAAGCAAATCAGCGTTACACAGAGGTGGATTAATTTCAGTTTACTGGCTTTCACAACATTACACAAAGACAAAGTAGTTAGAGAAAGAATCATTTGAACGTTAGCCAAAGTATATGAGAATAGAGAAAAGTTCGAATGTTATGCCATGCTTATCGATATTCTTCGGTTATTGGTCTCTGTCTCCTCAAGGACTCTATGCTTCTCTGTACGGTTTGTACTGGCAGTCAGAGACTTCTTGGATTGGTGTTATATCTTACGATGTATAGTTTCTTTTGCCTAACCTAATCATAATCTGGTCAATATGGTGCATCATCGTATGCACTGACTTGACATTTTGCAGCATTCATCGAAGCTATATCCATCAGAATATGTCCATATCCCCATCGACTGTATTGCTTTATTTGCCTTATACTGTAAGTTTACAATATTTAGTTGCGTACAAGAGATGGGGCGGGTGAAGGTATGTTCACCTATTATTTTCATATAGTTGCTTGATTGCGGATGATACTAACAGTATAAACAAGGGGGTGAGAATAAGAAATCATAAGAGCAGTCATAAAAAGAGAATAGAAAGAACCGGATACACGAAGAAAAATGCATTCAAAAGTTGTTGTTATTTGCAGAGTTATATCTTAGCGTACACACTGCTATAACTACAATTGAATATACCGACTTCTCATCTGATTCCACAAAGTTCTACTTTACAATGAGTACAAGAAAAAGCTTTTAGTTGTATGTTAAAGACAATTTTTTACATGGATAGTGGAAAACGAATCTGAGTTTTATCTACATAACGGTACAATAACTTGGAGAGTTATATCATTTCCATTAATGACTCTTGTAATTTCTCGTTGCTAAATAGGGCTAAATTGCTTGACCTCAGTTGGCCCATGCCTCTAAACTGCTGAATATTTATGATGTTATATTGATCTTGGTGACTAGTTGAGGAATGTAGCTACATGCGCATTTTGTCCTTTTTGGAACTCATTCGTCAGCTGGATGTACCTGTTCCCATTGAGGCTTTAATTTAGTACCTACTGCTTCGAACGCTAGAGCGATATCCACTAACCCACTGGGGCACGATAGCCACCTTTTGCACGGCTGATGAGTCTTGAATGGGACGAAACACACGTCCTGGCTTCCTCTGCTAGTCACCAAGATCAATATGATTCTCAACAGGCAGGAAACAGCTTTAGCAACATAACCATATAAAAATGAACATCTTCCAGAGTACTATGTTAACGCTCCCTCAAAAGTAACCAGTGAGTCCTACCCTCCTAACTGTCAGGCTTCAGCGTATCCGCATTTGCTGAGTAACTGGCTCCTTGACCGTATTCACCTCCTCGTGGGTAGACGTGATTATCAACAATCTTGCAAAAGGCTATTCAGCCGACCTCCTAGGAAGCTATCAACCTCCTCTTAAGGACATTTCCGACGGAGGCAAGCTCTCAGGCTACCTGGTCATCCTTTAGCCTCGGTTACAGTAAACGATACCCGGCATTCTGAAGCAAATGGCGTTCAAATTCGCAGGGTAGACTATAACACTTCTCTTAGGATTGCTTCAAGAACGATGACTGCAGGAACTAAGAAGCTGAATTCCCTAACCTTTTATTGGCTCAATGTTCCCAAAGTTCAGCCCACTGAGTAGAATCCTGACAGATAGCTGGCCAGTTCATGCTTTCAAGATCCACACCAGGGATCAACGCGTGTGGGTCTCGTCGAATGCTATTACTGCTAAGTCAATTATGACGGTGTATTGGTTCAAATTCGGGGGGATCACGAGGTGGCTCACTGTCGTTTGATAACTAGGTTCGACCAGTAATCACCGGGACACATACTATCTCTGATTTTCCTGACAAGCAGCTCAACCACCAACATCACTTAACCGCGCTTTATAAAGTGTCTCCACGTTGACACCCTGGCATGTAACTTTGGCAAGGGATTTCGCTACCTTATAAGAGTCATAGTTATGCCGGTAAAATACTTTTTTATGGTTTAAACGTATAGGTACTCAACTATTATTTAGGTTTGGCCCACTGAAGGTATATTAAATCTTTCATTTTAAAATAAAATTCGAGATGCATTCTGAATGTGTTCTAAAACTTGTCCCTTTTATACGATTTTATTTGATCTTCAAGATTGGATGCTACTCTGCTTCCTGATTGGTCGGCGTCAAACATTTTGACCTATCGATTCATAGAGGAGATTTTAAAATCAGAACAAAGTATTGGTGGAATGTTGGGTGAAATACTAATGCCGCCTAGTGTCAACTCTTCTACAGATGGCTTATCAGATATATCTTCGGGGTTGATTTTATCTCCACCATCAAATATATCAGGTCCTCATCATGGCACTTGGGCTTCATCAGCTAGTCTATCAACTGATGTGATTCCACCTTCTGTAATCTTGTACTCAAAATTAGGCTGGGGTGAATTAAAACTACAGCCTTTATCGCATCGTTCTGGTCTTTTACTTATGTGGGAGTCAACAGCGCATGACATTCCTTCACAACATCCTCTATGTATTGTTCTTCCATCGACACACCAAGCCAATGCTAATCCAGTTCAAAGTTTAAACCGATTGGTTAAGACACTGTGTCAAATCCCACAACTTTCAGGCCCACCATCAAGTCGTACAGTGAAATCCCTTACTAAACCTACCACAAAGCCGTTAACACGAGCACCAATATCTCGTCCTTCGTAAGTTCTGTTGTCTACCGCATTTTAATCAAAGAAATCGTAAATAACAATTGTGTTTGTTTTCACTAGCAATTGATTTATGTTTTACGCGGTTTTAAATTCTAACCTCTTTTTTTCTAAAGTTTACCTACTGCTTTACAAAGGCAACAAAACGAATATTTATCAAACTATGAGATTCCACGGTGGTTCTCTGTCGAAATCATGAACTACTGTCTGCTCATGATCAAATATGAAGTTGGGAAATCCTACAGTATTCAAAAGACAATCATGTAAATCAGTAGCGCTGGCTAATCAGGTCAAGGTAATCTTTAATACAAGGCGGTAAGGTTTTGGATCTGGGGTTCAGTTCTTCAGTAGTGTATTCGTATTGATTCAGTTGAGACAGGCAAATGTTTTGAACATCCTGAAAACTCATCAAGTTCTTCTGTAGACTTTTCAGATACAGTATCAAGGCAGGTGTTTAACTGGTTACCGCCTACTATTCAAGCTCACCAGTGGTATATATCATTTGACATTGGATTGGTTAGTGGCTGAACAGTAACCAATTTCAGGTTGTCTAGTGTTAAGCGCTATCCAAATTCTACCGATCATCCTGTCGAGTGGTCATTAAGCTAGGTGCCTTACCATTACAATGCGCTTTTGACTGATGTTATATAGTTCAGGAAGTCAGTAGGAAGTATTGCTTGACCTGGGTTTCATACTTATTAGCACTCGTCAGCAAGATATATGTGCAATCACCTAGAGAGAATTGATGTTCCCCTACAAACTTGATCTCAGATGTTATCACTAAGCTGGATTAAGTCACGTTTTTTGCCACCCAGGATTTGAGTAGTTTTCAGTTAATCGTTATAATTTTCGTTAAATTATTCTACTTTCACTGTCGCTAACATTGCATACAGTATTAATAAGAAGGTGTAGATAGTCTCATTCTATACATAATTTATTCTACTCAATTTTATTAAAAAATCTTCTAGTCTAATGGCTGGATCATATTGGATCGGTTACTGTCTAATCATCAGTCAATCTATATCACTGAATGCTACAAGAGATCAGTGACTACTCAGACAACTCAGTGGTAATGTCTATGACTACATCACGGAATATTTAATAGACATCTAGGAATAGATGACATGGAATTGGTGACTTGTGACCGATCAACCAATATACTATTCTCAGCAAGTTGACTGACGGCGTCCAGATATACTGAGTATTTAGTGTTTTTGTTTTGTATGATCAAACAAGATTGTGACTTTGCTTCATCTAATCAGTGACCATTGTTACATAGATAGCTGTGAGCCTGGTGGGATATATTTGGCTTAGTATGCTTCAGAATACACCTAGTATTATGCATATTCATGCAGAACTCACCTATACCATACACTTAGCGTTATCGTGCTGGTTGATAGCAGGTTTACTACTTTCATATTTGGCTTTCTTTGCAATTTGATTAACTGTATTTCACACTGTAATACCCCCTTATGTATGTATACGTTGATCAGTTGAAAGCCTAAGTTATGCAAATTGAAAAATAGCGATAAAGATGACCAGTCCCTTGCAACTTGGAGTTTACGTACGGTGAAATGAATTGAACTTGATAGTCTCCTTTAACATACAATTGGTCTAGGCACTTAATCTCCAACTATGATGGGTCTCGGGTTCGAAACCCACCCCATCTAGTGAGGTCTACACTATTATTTGATATCGTTTAATATCAATCAACGAAGTACTGGAAATGTTATGGCCAAACTGAATCCTTAAAATCCACAAATTGGACGCCAGGGTAATGATAATGATAATGGTAGCTGGGATTATTTCATTCGTTTGACTGAGACGTTATTACGTTGTGTATGAATCTTTTTGAATATAAGGTTGGAATTCATCATAGACTGACATCAGTTGGAGGAACATTGTGAACCTGGGAGCACTATATAGCTGTTTCATTCAGGTACGGGACTCCTTAGCAGTGCACATCCATGACCTCGCCCTACCCCGCCAGGGGTCGAACCCAGGTTTTCACGGCCAGCACGTTAGTTACCATTGAGCTAGCCTCTGGGTCGGAATCCAGTGGTCCATACTTCCTACTTCTGTCAGTTCATGATGTAGCGTGACCTATATCCAATGTCGTCGTTGAGCAACTGTCCTCATCTTCGACTTGGTTCACCCCACTCCTCACGACTTCTCATTTGAACTTCGGAAATCACCTGTCGAAGCTAGTCACCAATGAGCGCTAGGTGAATTCTATGTGGAGGTTTATGGAGATTTAATATTTGGTTTCAGGTTGGAATTAATAATGGACTGACATGAGTTGGGGGAAGATTGGAAGCCTGAGAGCAGTGGAATTTTATTAGGCCGCACTACCTCTTTTTTTTATGTATCCTTACCTTTTACTACTTCATGGCTATGAGACTCATTTAAGGTAAATGATGTATCATTACATAGTTAGTGAAAGAATAAGATTCTCGCCTGAGTTGTTTACTTTTCATCTATGTGAAATCAGCTTATTTTCATACCTAAAATCATTCATTTCGTTCCTATGTTTCTTGGACGATGGTGTTTCATCCACTTTTGTGAATCTTATCTTGTAATCATTATTCTGTACAGTTTTTTTTCGTACACTAGCTTCAGATTCGATTTTTGTAGGATTCGAACTTACTGCTGATCCCTTCTAACGCCACAGCGTTATTCACTAGACCACCGAGTCAGGATGACCATTTCTTGTATTATCCCGTCGTTGATTGGACTGAATTGATCAATCTCTATTGGCATAAGGGCTCCTTCATGGATGCCTCGAAATCGCCTACATTTTCAGTTTTGATATTAATGATACGTAGTGGCTAGCAGTAGAATTCAGCACACGCGTTTCGTTCTATACAGTTGGCGACGAAATAATACCAGCAGCAATATCAAAACTATACCGTTGCACAAGTAGTAGCTATCATAACCCCATGGTCTAGTGGCGTTTGAAGCGATTGGTGGTGAGTTCGAGTTCTAGTGGGAAGAACGTTGCTCACTGGGAGGCAGCTACATCCAGCTGACAAGTCCCAAACGAAAAATCTGGGTAGCGAATGAATTCAGACCCACAACCTGTCGACATACCAATCTGCTTGACTTTTGAACAAATGGAAAACGAGACTGAGTTACTGGTCGGGTCTTAAATTCACTTTCATTGCAGAAGGTTTGACCAGGCTACCGTATTATTTCGTGATACGTAAGTGTCTTTTCATTGTAATCACAATGGCTGCCCGATCAGCCTTTCTCAGCTCATTTAAAATCCATCTGAATAAGAGAAAGAGACAGTGTTTTATTGATTGGTAATGGAACTATCTGAGATAGACTTGACTTGGCAGATAGAGAGACAAGATCAACGTAGAAACTCGTATACATGTGCATCACATGTGGATCGGCTCAATTTGCCACACTTCGCAGTAGTAATTAAAGAAAAAGTGGATAAAAAGAGAGTGATATCAAAGTAAACACAGTTGTGTGAGAGAAAAAACAGTTTGAAGACAAATGGTTGATGCAAATGTCCAAGCTTTGGAAGATGTAAAAGAGTAAATGCATTTTCACTAATGTGACCAGTTCTCCGCCATATCACCAAGAGTCCTCAACCACTGGTTCCTTTTGTCTTAGGGACCCCAATCAGGTGGTTTACATCTCCCCATGCAGCTCAGAGCAACATTCAGCGACTTAATGCTTTGATACTGTGTCTTGGGCTGTCTACTCTAAACCTATTTTCAACCTAATCCAACTGCCCCCCCCCCCTCATCGTTGCACGTCGAGGTAAGTGGTGACTTGGCCTGTGCAGTACACTTCCAAGCCACTTCAGTCGGGGAAGGTCCACAACCTCATCAGTCAACTTGTCTGTCTTGCCTAGAACCCTTCACCTGACCTCATCATCGCTCACAGAGTGATTCCACCGAATACGATCAATGCTACGAAGACACCTATGATGAAAACCCTATGTAGCAGGACAGAACAAGCTAGTGTTACTGATACTTAATGATGAGTGAAGATTAAATCAAAATACTGGTCGTAACAAGATTTGAACCAGAAGAAAGATATGTATCACAGATTCACACAGCAGGAAGATGAAACCTTCAGTGATTTGAATCAAGTTAAGACCTTACCAACAACTGGATCTTATAGCCTAGTTGGCAGAGTACTGAGTCTATAACCACAGAAGCTTCTGTTTCGCATCTTGTTTCATCCAACTTTTTTTATTTTGCCTTCAGTCATTGTGTAATGTCAATAATAAGAGTCTGTCACACCTCGGCTACCTCAGGTAGTCTTATTACTAAACACGTATAATCATCAGTAATATGCTTCCAGATGGGTATCACGACGTTCTAATGCGAAGCCATGACCTATGGAGTCAACCAGTCGGAAGGGAGACGTATGCCAACTATAGATCTTGAGTGGTAGTCGTGCCATGTCGCGGATCGACAGAAGTTGGGACCTATGAACTCCTGAACTCCGACCAGTGGCTGAATGGTTAATGCGTTCACCGTGAAACTTGAAGGTCCTGAGTTCGATCCGTAACTGGGTCATGGGTGTGTAATGCTAAGGAGTCTCACACTAGAACAAAATATCTATTCAGTGCTCCAAGGTTTTCAATGGTTGCCTAACTGATGTCAGTCCGTGATGAATAATACCTCTAAACTAAAATCAATATTCATGTCAAAAATATCAATAACTTAGTTCATTGTTTTGTAAATATCATTTAAGTCATTTTCCTTTGTTTACACAGATGTGTATGTGTACGCACGGCGGACATGAAGATAGGCATTAACTTTGAATACAACCTGGTAGAAATGTTTATCAGCTTGAATAATCACATTACTCATAAACACTGTAATGAGAAGTCAATAAAACTCAAGGTTAGGAGTTTGGATACTTCTGTCTCTTAAAGTCATTTACCATCATTATTGGTTGTTTTGAACATTCTGAATAGGATATCAGCATTCGCTTACATGACTAAGACCAATAATTAGGGAAAGTTT